AAAATACTGACCGTTCTGCAGTGCTGCACTAAATCATATAATATATGGCATATTCTTCTCTGGAGAGGAAAGTGACATATTTGCACCGTGTTCTTGAGCTAATAATAATCCACTGTGCCTAACTTCAGGAGCCCAATTCCTTATTCTTAGGAAGTCAAGTGGAAGAATCTTCTGAGTAGGAAGTTAATGAGAAAATTTCTCAAGCTTAATGAGCAAGTATTTCTGAATGGTACTTCAGGACAGGTATCTTCGACACTTAACACTGCATCTTATGAATATTGTATTCCTCTTCAGCAAACACCCAGTTTTAAAGAAATCACAAAAATCTACAGAAAGTTGTATTTGTAGCTGCTGATAACATCCTGCTGTTCTCCCAAAGAACAGATTCAAATATAAATTTTCATTTGCAACTTAGAGCAGTGAATAACAGTGAAGCCTGGTAGCCAAGTGACTGCTACTCCAAGCTCATTCCCCCAGCCTCTTTTACATACCCACAGGAGCACAGCTGACAAACGCACTTCTTCAGAGATGGAACTGCATGCAAAGGCACAGGCGATACAGGAGACATGTTTGCTCAAAAAAAGTTACAGTTCAGGCCTTTCCCAACAGATCTCTATAGCAGAAAAAGGCAAAACAAAAAACAACAAAAAACCTCACAAAAAACCCCAAAACAAAACAAAGGTACCGCTCTGCAGGAGCGGTCCCTGGAGACAATTATGTCAGAAGATCTAGGAACCTCCAGAAGCAGGGACAGAGCACATGACACTAGCAGGCTAGTTGAGCAGGTCCTTCCCTGGGGCAGCATGCCTAGGTTCCTCTGGTGGCATCCCAACCAGAGCTCTGCAGTCCTGCTTCCAAGCCTCTTCTGACCAGGGCATGAAAGCCTTGGCAGTCACCTGGGGAACGCTTGTGAAGTCACCAGCACCAAGCCCTAGAGCACAAGTCTGCAAGGAACACCGCTGGGCCTGTTCCAGAGAGTTGACAGCAAAGGTCAGATCTTCCAATTCTTTAGCTGTTTGACCATGATTAGATCAACATGTAAACGGGCTATTAAGTAGCACTTCCCTCTTAGTTGTTACCATGTCAGCAGCCACATTATCGCTTCCACAACCAGTCACCCAAATCTCTTTTCATAAAGCTTGTCAAATTCTGCTTTATAAGGAAGATGTCAAACATGTGGAGATTCTTCTTAAAACCTGCCTGCGACTGTTTTGGAAGAAAGGAGGAGAAAGATATAGAAAAGCAGAAAAAACTTTATTTACCAACATTTCAAAACTCACTAAAAATGTAAGACTAGGGGTCAGTACTTTTACAATAAGAAGTTTTATCTGCTGCAAGCTCAGCTTTTGCATTCCCACCTGACCACAAGCTGTATTATCAGTTACTTACATCAAAATGTCATAAATGTATATCAGCTATTTGAAAATAAAGTGGTATCAACACAAGTCTTTTTTTTTTTTTTTTTTTTTACAACTTCAGTGCAAAACTTTTATTCAGTAAAATGCTTAAAGAAATAGGCACTCCAGTGGAAGTTTCCAAGAAGAGAGTAGCCTCTATTAACAGGTAGAACTAATGGCAATATCAACTAGAAGTGTCAACAAGAGAGAAGAATTCAATTAATGTAAAGTAAAATCTGGGTGGGCTGGGATTTATTTTTTGGGGGGGGCAAGAATCAGGAGTAAGAAAGTCACCAAAGATTTCACTATTTCTCATTTGACATTTTGTTTTCCCATTTTCTAGGATTATGGCACTTACTCAATATCTGCTGTTTTTAGAAATATGCTTTAAAAGGAATATATAGTTCTGTACATAAATGATGGGCTGTACATGGAATACTACGACAGATGACATGAAATTGGAAGAACCAGAACAGGCAACTGACACTCTTAAAGAAATTGGAATACAGACTCTACAAAAAATAAAAAAGAGTGCAATTTCTCTATCTAGGCAGTGCTTGGAGAACATGCTACATGCTCAAAAAAACTGTAATTGCACTACTATGGTAATGCTCCTGCTTTACAAATCATATCCTGATGATGGTTCCTTTGTGTCTGGCTTCTCCTCCAACTGTTCTTTGTCTGGAAGAAAAAGTGTATTAGTTAACACTCTATAATATTCACTTAATTGACAGAAATACTGCTTCAAGTGTTTTGCATATATTAAAAAAAGCATATTCAAAATGGCACTTCTAATTCTTACAAGTGTTCCAAGTAAGGCAAAATCATCTGTTATCAGTACAGCCACAATTTTAAGTGAAAGCTAAATTGCAGCAAGCCTTTGCATGAAGTATAAATCTCACTACTCCTTGAGACTAGCTTTTTGTGTTAAAATCTCTAGTACTCCTTTAAATATCTCCTGTTTCAGTGAAAGTCTTCTGTATAACCATTTATGGCTCATTTTTATTAATGTATTTCAAAAACTGACCTCACATGTAACTAAACATTGTACTATCAGTTAAACAAAGTTGACACTTCTGTTGGAAATGGGTTGAGAGGGAAGGCAGGCTGGAATGGAGGATATTTCATAATAAAAAGTATATTAATAAAGTATTACAGATTATGAACACCTGACTGACCTCACAGAAGTTCCAATTACCTACAATACATTTCTTAATAGTCAAATTTGTTCAGAGTAAACATTATTTCAAACTGTGAATTCTCAAAATTTAACTTCAGATTACTCCATTGCTAATGCACCTTAAAGCTTTTTTTTTTTAAATAGCTGCAGATTACCTCAGAAAATCAGATGAGCACCTTTCCTCCTATTTGCAAGATGTTGATACAACTAAAGGAAGTATGTTTCGTTTGCTTTTATGCCTCCTCTTCCATAAGGAATAAGCATACAAATAACTAATCTTCCTACACTTCCACAGCAGGGTTCAGATACTCAGGATAGATTATTTACGGTAGTATATCCGGCAGCAGGATACTTACCCTTCAATTTATGTATTAACTCTACTGGGATATCGTGTACCATTGATGCCATTTCCTCCAGATGTTGAGAAGATATCAGCAAAGATGACAGGGAATATTTTCTTTTATCAAGAGATACTGGTGATGGCGTCTTGACAAATTCATCATCCAAGCGGAAGAGTTCTAGAGGATTGTATGATTCATCTCCTTCTCCTCTTTCTGATGCAAGACTTAGGTCTGATTGACAACTTGGAGATTCACCTCCATTATGTGTTTGATGCAGCTCCTCGTCACTTCTAGATGCAGTCTTCTTCTGTGCTTCATACGTGTTGAACTGGGACTGTAGATCTAGATTTGATTTTTTAATACCCTTATTTCTTGAACCACCTGTTACATATTCACTGTCTATTACATCAGACTCTGAGCTTGAAGATTTGTTGAGATCTATGTTATCAAGTTCTTCTGGAAGTGTCTCATCCAATATTCCCAAGTGGGCACTTTCAACATTCATAGAACTTAACATTGAAGATACACTCTGTTGCAGCATCTCATTCATCAAGGAACCCCAAGAGTGGTCTGAAGGTAGAACATTTGTTCTACTATTGCTTTCTGAACAAATACCTGTAGTATTCATGTTCTTCTTTCTATATGGAAAAACCTGTTCTTCTGGATCTTCTACACAACTTTTGTTCAAATCAATACATTTTAATTCCCGTTCTTCAGTTCTCTTACTCTCTTGCAATCCAGATGTTTTCGAAGTTGGAGATTCAATTATATGACTTACCTCCATCTGCTCTTGAGGTCTAAATTCTGTAGAACTTAACCAAGAGTTCCTTTCTGATGAGGGAGGATCAAAGTCAGGTACAGGAGATGCAGGGTTAGAACACACAATCTTAGAGTCTTCTACCTCCTGTGTTTTAAGTGCAGAGTCCACTGAAGCTTCTTCTCTCATTACTTCAGCTGGGGACAGCTCTACATCTGATGAGCCCTCAGTCTGAATAGCTTTTCTCCAAGAGCTTCTAATTTCAGTAACTAAATGGAACAAACCAGGTGAAATTTTAGTACTTTCATACTGTAAATCATCTGTTTTAAATCTGTCTCTTCAGTAACATGCTTAGTTTTCTTCCTCAACACAAAAGGAATTCTACACAGGAAAAAAAAAAAAATCTATGTTAAATCAAATTCACAGTATTGACATCTTATTAGGCCTACACCTTATTAGGCCTATTATGTTTTGTTACAGACTGAGCCATTAGGATAACTTGGAGCTTCGATGAAATAATTATCTTTTTATTTTTGTGTGACATGTACAATATCAATGAATTAACCACATTTCTCACCAGTACTATAAAAACAGAGCTTTAGACTTACGCAGATTTTCTGGAGTTCGAGGAATTTGTTTCCGCGTTACAAATGGGTTAAAAGCCAGTGAACTAACCAGATCTTCTAATGACATTGCTTTTCCTTCACCACTCTGAGGCGATTCAGACATCACTGTTTTTGCAATCTGTAGGATGTTAGAAAAGAGCAAATCCAGAGAATGCAAAGTTATAACCTTGTTATTTCTATCAGTTATGGCTCAAAATAAGTCACATTCTCTAAATGATCCGAGGAGTTTGGAATCTCCTGACTCTTCTTCTGTCACTTACTGCCTAGGCTCACAACCACTAGTGTCCTATAAACACAAAATGAAGATAAGGGACTGAAATAAGAATTCAGTTCTAAGTTCCTTCATCATCTGTGAATCCATCTTTAAAATAAGAAAATGTGCTCAGCATATATTTAAGACACTAGACAGGAACTGCCTAAGTGTGAAGACTAGAGCTACATTTAAGTAAAATATTTTATTAGATGAAAAATAACTGTACCATTTCAGTGAAATATGCAATTTACTTTCCAAGTCAAGCTATGGCACATTTTACAGTAGCTCTTGTGAAGGAATTCCTCAGTTAAATAAAGTACCTAAAAGGGGAAATACTTAAATTCCTGCTTAAAATTCCCAAGCCCCCATTAAATAATTAACCTGCATAACTCCAGAAACAAACAGGACTGTTGGATTCTCAATATATGCAGTAGTTCATAGGTGACAGCAGGAGGTGATAAAAATCACACCATGATTTGACTGAAAGTGCTATTCACTTTACCATGATTTATAAGGATGATAACTGCACAAGCTCCAGGCTTTCAGAGCGTACTTAATTGGGCAGTCATCATTAGCGACACTGATTACTACCTAGCAGAAAAAAGTAACTTTTGGCACACACAGATTACAAGAGGTATTTTACGATATAATTAGTAATTTGTTCTCTGAACTTAATGATCATTTATTTAAAAACAAACAAACAAAAAATTTAAAAATAACTCTTCCTAACCTCTTCTGCCAGCTCATCTCTGGCTTTCATAAGAGGGTCGTCTTTTTTGATAGGAGAGACTGTCTGGATAAGCTGATCACCTGCATTCTCACACATTTCTGAAATGGCAGATTCATCCTTTCCATTTCTTAAGAATTTTTGAGGCGCAGGCTTTTTTTGCCTCTTGCAAGTTTCAGTATGCAAGTCCTAGAGGAATACACAGGAATTATTAGAAGTTTTAAACTCAAGTGTCAGAAAATCAGCACGAAGAAACTGCTGTACAAATTTTGAACAGCAATGGCCTTTGTGCTTAATCGATAAAATATTCTGGTCTTAAATTCTAACTAAACACAAAATAGTTTTACAATCTTATTTAAAGTAGGACATAAGTAGTGCTAGGATAGGGTGTGGCACAGAACACAGACGACTCATCTGCAACTACCTTGAACACACTACAGTGAACAATTGTGCAATGGACAGCTGTCCACCCAATTTGCTTTCAGGCCGTATTACAAACCTTAAGTTCACACACAACTTAAAGAAACAAAGTCTGACCACTGCTCACGTCAAAAAGATTGTTTCAGCAAGCAGAGAATCAGTGACGCACTAAGTTGTACTGGAAGTCAGGTGCAATGCACCTACTTCCTACTGTCCTTTCCTAAAGCTTAATGAAGTCCCTGGCAGTTAGCCATCACAGTTTTACCAGACTGATTCAAAGGAGTAAAAATACTACTTTAAAAAAACCCAAAAAAACTCCAAAAAAAACCCCAACCCCCTTCCCCCTAAATACTAAGTCTAATACTTCAATCAATATAAAAAGCATCATACGTTTAACTTCTTTGACAGATAGGAAATTACTTAAGAACAACCTTTTCAATTAACAGGTCTCTGTTTTCAGACACTTTTGACAACTCCAAAGGCACTGAAGAGATCCTTGGGAGGTGTGGGAGAGAGAAAGGGAAAAGGGGGAAAAAAAAAAAAAAAAGAAAAGATGTTTTAGAGACAAATTAAACAAATGGCATGTAAGCCTTAGTAGTAAGGCCATTACATATTGTGTGCCCCGTATCTGTCCGTTACGATTTCCCTCAATTCGTCCCGGTCATCAGAAGGCAATTTTACTATAGGGAGAACATGTGACAATTAGAGCAGATTTAGCCCTAGTTGTGTATCAGCCTCCCAAAATTAATAAATTATGAATTTTTTCCCTTAATTACCAAACAGAAAAAGAAGGGTTTTCATGTTACATTTTGTAAACAAGTCTTCTGTATTCTGCAAAGATAACTGGAAAGTCTTCTGCAGACTTAATAATGTTCTTTTCCCTAGATATTTTTCCTCTAAATCACCTCTGCCATCCACAGGTCTGTTCCTATATGAACTTACTGATATTTAACAGTCACCTGGCTACCAAAAACTTCAGTCTTATCACCTCTGATGAGCGTAGTGCTAATTGCGTAGCTCTCTAAAACATAAGGTACAGTCCTCACTTGTTAGGAAGAACGCACTTGAAACATTAGAATCAGAAGCAGAGAAAAATCCATGCTCTATGAAGTCACGGAGAGAAATCCAAGCTTTAACTGTCAACTACTTGGAACAGCCTTTGAGCCTTATATGCAACTACCTCTACTAATGTCTAAGTGTAGGACAGCCTTCCTTTGCTACCTCCCTTTCTCTCCTAGTAGGTAACTTTCAGGTATCTGTAGGAGTCATACTATGAAATACAGTGTTATTCCAAAGGTCATTAAACCTTCCTGAACTAAGAAAATGACAAACAGACCAAAACTTCTTAGAATACCATTGTTTTGTGTTCTGTCCTTTGCTGGAACTGTAGTAAGAGAAGTTACAGTTAGAAGATTCATGAGAAAAGCCTTGTTGAGAAGGTTTAGCACAGTAACTCTGCTAGGGAGTCAAGAGTTCTTTGTTTTGGTTCAGTTGTAGTTGTTTGTGGGGGGGTTTTTTGTCTGTGTGGAGGGGGAGGGTTGCCTTTTTTTCTTTTTTTAAAACACAGAAGAAGGGCTCCTGTCAATGTCTGTTCTTTTATTCTCAGGCTATTTGGAAACATATATGCCTATCTCAATCCAGCCTGAGAAACAGAATTCTCTGTTTCCTCCACCCACCTCTTAAAACTTGAAAGAACATAGTTAAGAAGCGAGATAAAAACCTTGCAACTTGGCTGCTGCATATCCTATTCAGCAGCAATCAGTTGATCAACTGGTCACCAGCTGCAGAAGGTGGGAGTTACTTCAGGACTATCTTGCTAAACCACGTGGATGTGACACATAAGGAGCAAGCTACTAAAGTATACCACTAAGGATCAAGACATGCAATATATTCAACTCCAACAAGTAAATTTCTATTTTTTCCACCGCTTTTTTATCAATTTCTTATTAACATCATACCATCTTGTTGGCAGTATTGACGTATCCACCGTAATTTCCAATGCCCCATCACCTTTCTCATAAGGTACTTCATGAATAGAGTCATAAACATCTAGAAAAACAAGTCAAAGAGTTTTATTATTGCTTTCATTTTTTTTTTGCTCAGGCTTGCCAGGTGACACAAGTGACCCAGGTCACTTCTGAAGACTATTCACAGGATGGACTTAATGAACACTTCAAGAAAAATAAATTAATACATAAGCAGGACATTTAAATCAATCCTTTTGCTCGGGTACTGCCTGCAGCCACAGACGTCACTAGCAGCCAGTACCTATTTGTGTTGTTCCTGAATCTGTTGTTCGAGAGGCATGATTCTATCTGCTGCCCTGCATATATCATACATTCCACTTTCCTCCAAACTGCAATCCCAGCCACACATCATCATTATCCCCTCCTCTCCATACACTTACCAATCATCTGATACATCAATTCCACAAAGCAAAATTCCACCCACTTTTTCCTCCACGATTTTCACCTGCTTTTATCAATAAATATCTCTGATCAGACAGATAAGCATGTCCACAGTGCTGTCTCAGTCCAAGCAAGGCAAGGCACACTTGCCTTGGAAATGTTTTATGTATTATCAGAGGTACACAGACCTCAGCTCAGGACTCTCTAGGTTAACAAATACCTATTTGGGCACATTATTTGGTAAACAAAGTGTAACCTCAGTAGCTCTCTACTAACCCTAAATTTCATCTTCTGCAAACGTAAACGGAATTTCCTTTTGTATTTACTTCAACACCACATCCAAAATCCAAGCTCACTTCAGGAAGCTCAGTGAGGTTAACATTTTTTTTAAAGCTTATCATGTTAACAGGCAGAAAGTTTTCTTAGTGTCTAGATTCTCAGACCAAGCATCTTAACCAGAGAATGCCACAGACACCAGTTTGTTTCAAGCTTTCTGGTATTACCAGAAGTTCACAGCATTATTGCACAGTGCTTTTATCTTTGAAATTTTTAAGGCAAATAACTTTCCATTTGCAATTCTGTAGCCTTTCCTTTGCATCTTCTAGCCTTATACCTACAGACCCTCAGACTGCTGGAGCAGTGCTTTCACCTTTGTAACCAAAATGATCTCCCTATTGCTTTGCACCTTGAAATTCCAACAAACTTCCGTTATGTCATTTTTCCTAGAAGAGACTGCAAATGACATACGAATCAAGCGGTCTTCCTCCTCCTTTTTCACCCTTGCTTTGTAGCTTGTAATTTATAACTCTACACTACAAACAGTCAACACTTGGTCAGTAAGCACTATCCAGTAAAATACAATAAGCTCATAAGCTGATTAGAGCACGTGCAACATCCATGCCTGATCAAAGTGAGCTCTGATTAGCACTGTTAACCTAATGACTGAAAGCAACCAACATAGAGATCAAGTAAGGTCCTGATCAAATGACATAGTTACTGTGGAATAAGTACTTCAGAATGCACAAGGAAAAGAGACTTATGTGGGAAGACATCTTCAATTTCCTTTCCCAGCCAGACAATGGAAAGTTCTATCTTCTTCCTCTCTTATGACTCCTCCAACCTGAAGTAACTTTTACTGTTAGAGTGAATGCATTCTCTAGAACCCATGAAAGAACTCTGTATTTGGAAATCAGTCTCAACAACCTTCATGCAAGAACAACAAAATACCAGACAGCTCCACCATTGGGTTTTTTGGGCCGTATCAAAAGCTTCAGAGACTCTTTGAAATACGACAAGGTTGAAAAATGGAAGGCAATTGTGACAAGGAGGCATTCAGAACCAGATCAGAGACCACCAAAGATATTTGTAAATGCAAGCATGAAGTCTTTTTGACTCCAAGTAACTTTTAACAACTATGGCTGAGGGTGGGGTGAGGGGGAGAAGGAAAAGAAGATTCTCCCGTTCACTCACCTGAAACTGATACTACACGTTGACAAAAGACACTATCATCATCATCATCATCTTCTGCAAGATTAAGAGAATAGGATGGCGAAGCTTTTAACAGATCAAGTTCCTTTCAAAAGGAAAAAGGAGTTACACAATCAGACTGAAAAAATCAGCAACAATTACAGAATCACCAAATCACTTAGATTGGAAAAGCCCTTTAAGATCATCAA